GGTCAGCCATATCCATCAGTTGTCACATTTGATTATACCACCAGATATGCATTTATAATTATGTGTCAACAAACATAAAGCTAACTTTAGCTGTGGTGATACTTAGATAAAGTACAAGTGTCTGTGCCTCCAGTGCATGCAAATATATTTATTTATGTCCCTCCTTTCCATTCTATTTTTCAGAAATGTAATGCATTTGTAGTTGTTCAAAATCAGTATGTGTGTTTCTGAATAAGCCTGTGCACATACAGCACACACTCCCTCTGCCATCGATATTGTAAAAGATATGAGTTAAGATATGAGATAATGTTATTGTTTGGCTGGGTATGACGAGGGAGCCATGTTCTCCGTTCTCAGGAGGACATGACACATGGCCGAGGCCAGAGGATAGAATAATGTGTGGCAGAGTGAAAGGCTGCACATGCTCATTAGTATCATTAATCACCAGGGACAGAGATGCCTAATGATAGAGGGAGGAGGGACTTCACAGAGGGAGGAGGGAAAAGGATATGACAGAGATAAAGAATTCCTCAAGAATATTAACATTTGGAAAATATAAGTCGCTTTCAGATTCATTTAAATGTATCTATTTTGGGCACTCCTGGGTCTGGCAACATTGCAGGGATTGCTCGAAACAAAAGGAACAGTGTAATTAATACCAGCCTTAATTGTCACTCTAAATTGTCATATAATTCAAATTTAATGTGGCGTTCTCACTCAGGGTGTGAGGGAAAATTGGGCTGAGCCAGTTCCCTTGTGGGGAAAAAAAAGGATCTCTGGTGGGGGGATCAAATGGGGTGTGTGACATTTTCTCACAGACGTTTGATTGTGAACTGAAGGATTCCTCTTATGGGGCTTCCACTCGTCCACCACAGTATGCAGCTAATGGGTGTAGCTGAGCCTTGAACCAGATCTCAGGGTGGAGAGTGTCGGTTGTAGTTCTGTCGGCCGCTCTGCAGCCGGTTCGGTGGGAGCTCAAGGCCCTGAGCTTGGCTGTCCCTCTGCAGCAGCAGAGGCTCTGGGGATAGTCGTGCATGGCGAGGGCAGGTTGTTTGATCAGCACATATTTTTAATTGGCTCCAGGCACCCTGGAGTGTCAGCATTGCCACGGAGTAGACTCCTATTGCACCTTTCCTAATTAAAATCATTACAAATTCCAGGCGCATCATGAAGGATTAAATGAGACTTGTGTGAGTGTGTGCCTGTGTGAGTGTGTGTGTGCATTTTATCCAGTGGTGTGCCTATGCATGGGTGCGTTGTCTCCTTGATAGCTAACATGTATAGCTTAATTGTTTTTCTCCTCAGTAATAGTAAATGAGGGAGGGCTGGCTGTAATCCTGGTCCACTAATCAAATTACATGAAAGAGAATCTCTCAGTATATTCACACTGAAATACTGTGGAGGATTTAAGTTTCTATATGTCTTTTTGAGAAAACTGAAATTAAATATGAGCACCAAAAACTTCTACTTTAGGGAGTGTTTAACCTGCAGTTTTATGTCTTTTATTGAATATTCACATCTGTCCTGCTGTGTATAGCGGCTTTAACGAGAGCTGTTTGTCTTATTCGAAATAATTGATGTCAGGCAAACTGTGCAACTCCTTGGAGGATTATTTTGAGCGGCTTGGAAAACAAATGGTCTCAAGAAAACTTATATTTAACTTCAGTGGATGTTTTATTCATCACGTCTTTTATTGAAACAAAACTCTTTCCATGTGTTGAATTAGATGTATAGATGATGAAGATATTGTATTGAAGCTGAGTGATCTTGCTGCTGTACTGTGCTTTAGGGGACTATGGAAGGAGTGGCTTCAGTCCCCTAAACAAAGGAGGCTTAAATCTCTTAAATATCCCGTGCCACTTTGCCCGGAGGGAACATAGAAACAAGGGAGGGTTTCTTTGGTCTGATATTGGAAGCTAGAGTTCATGAAGGCGAAATACAAGTGATGACTATGGAAGGATTTTAAGAGCTGTCTCTGTTCGAAAACATGCCCCTAAAGCCTTAACACACACCCTGACACAAACATAAAAATCATATGACATATGACTGAGAAAATTACTACAATTTATAAAGGTAATAACTATGTCTGACCAAAGTTAAAAATGAATATCTCAGTCACGAGCCATTATGAGAACCTCTGCTACATTCAGGGACAATAGAAAAGTGTTGGACAAAAGCAAGTCATAGCCGATAGTTATGGTGATCGAGAATCATAATGTCTCTCGTGGAACACAGTGGGACGTCTATTCACAGCAACAACCAATAAAACCACAGCAACTCATATAATAGTTAATGGACAGTATTGTCCAGCAGTGAATGGACATGTTATGAGTAGACAGCACAATATACAGACGCCAACTCAGGGTTCACTGCAACTCGCTATTGTGGTTGGGTATGTCAGGACTAAACTAGTCGCAGATCGAATTGTGTAAACACAGAGAGATATACAATGTATTTAATTGTTAAAACTGGCATGCAGATGGATGAAATTTACAAATTACAAATTACAAATTAAATTAATTATTTCATTAGTGATTTATATGTTCCTTTTATCCAGTCAAAGTTGTCAGAAAAAAATGAAATGGAATTTGATAGTTTGTTCATTCCAAGAGGACTTAATACAGAAAAAGGTTGGTCATTCAAAGTTGAGGGTACTCAATTTTCTCAAGAAAATGAAAAACCACATATTTTTGAAGGGTATATTTGTGGAACATGATCGCTTGGTTACTATTGACTCAAGAGGGATAGACAACAGAGAGACGTGGCAGAGGAACGAAAGTGAAAAATGGATCGGAAAGATGAGTGAGGGTGGGGTGTCTCTTCAACCATCGTGGCTTCCTGTCCGGAAAAGTCCATTCATCATTTTCACGTCTTCGTGTCATGGCTTACTTTGCCAATAGCCAGAAGTGTGGCAATGATGACACAGAGGATTGATGAGGTGCAGGCGGGGGTGGCTAGCAGGGGTTTGGGATGGAGATGATCAAACCAGATGTGGTGTGAGGTGGGGCTGGGATGGACTACGAGGGGGACCTGATGAAGGTCATGATGTTACCTATTGCCCCCATTAACCATGTCCATTTGCAGACACACATGAAATGTAGGCCACGTACAAAGCCTGCACTGTGTATTCTGGTGCATATTCATATAAATCAGCAAAAACATAGATTTCCACATGCCGTTGCCTAGCAGCATACGGGAACACTTATATGAGAAAATCAACACCATTCCAGCAGCAGCTGGTTAGCTTAGCTTCGCCTCGCACACTGACCCAAAACAGGGAAAACAACTCTGTCCAAAGGTAATATAATCTGCCTGTCAGTAGTTTGTTTTATCGGTAGAAAAACAAAAGTGTAAAAATTAAACGTTGTGGTCTTACAGTTTCTAGTCTTTATGCTAAGTTAGCTACCAGCCTGCTGGCTGTAGCATCATATTTACAGTAAGCTACACACTCAGCAAGAAAGCCAATAAGCACATCCCCAAAATGCCAAAATATTCCTTTAATGAAAAGGAATATAATATATTAATTTGGGAATATATGTATTAGTTTGCTTGTTAATTATTAGCAACACTTGTTATCACTGTATATAGGTACATTTCAGTCTGTCTGTCTATGCTGTTAGTTTCAGCGTTCATTTTTGTTGATGCAGTGTATTTGTCAGTGTTTGTAATGTGGTGTGAATATTAAATATTTATATTATTTATTTATTTTTTTTGACCAACAGGAGTGCAGTTTGGGTCCAGATGATCCGTCCTCTCTGGAGCTCTGTTAGTTGTCGGGTTGCCTCACGTTGCTCTGAAAACCCAAAAGTGTTGATTCACCGACAAATGCTGCTAATTAGCCTTCAAACTAATATTCCACACCTTTATAGAAACATGTGAAATGTTAATTAAGGAATTAATTCACTTAAGTATTTTATTAGTTGTTACACTATTTTGCCAACCCCCTGTGAATGTTTAGTGTGACTAACATGTGGTGGCAAGAATGCATAAATATTCAATCTAACATTAAATCTGAAAGGACCTGGTCCAGATGTCACACTGTACCATGAAGTCTTGTATTAATTCTACATTTTAAAGCTCTCCTGTCTGTTTTACAGTAGATGAATGCTGGCAGGTCCACATTAGCAGACACAGTGATACTGTACATGCATGGGTATTGCTGGACTCCCCCTTGTGGTAAAATATTACACAACTGTAAAAGACCACAGTCTGCCAGACAAATAGGAATACACAGAAATGTGAGGGGGTAACTGAACTCAAACTGAATTAAATTAGAGCCAAGAGTAATATCAAAAGGTGTTCTCTCTTCCGTCTCTCTCTTCACTTTGCTGTGTAGTGTATCCCCTGCTGGCACTGGGCGTACTCCGAAGATTGTGGTTCTCCCAACTCAGTAGCTGATCAGAACCAGGTGGGAAGGCCTGCATGTGCTTTCCATTTGTGCAGGATGTAAATGGATTCAATTAGATCCAAATGCACAACCTGTCAGCCAGGGGGAAGTGGCAGACTTTCAAAGGCCATTAGATTATGGACAGGATTTGGAATAAAAACTTCACTGGCCGGGATTGTGCCATTAAATTGGTTGATGTGAAACTATTGAAGTGATTTGAGCTTGCATGCTGACTGTGCGCTATTCATGTGGGCGCAAATTCTGTCACACACACACCCCCTCTCAAATTATCATTAGCAGCCCCCTCCTTTCTTTCTTTTTCCATCTGTCTCCCTCCTTCCTTCATGCGCACACACACACACACACACACATACAAATGCAAACACACAAAACGGCGTACATAAAGCTGTAGTATATCCTCAGACATATTGCCAGTGGCCTCGCAAACTTGCCTGCATTACAAACAGTAGCTCTTACAGCCTTAAAGTCAAATGGCTCCATCAGTCATGGCTGTTAAGAAGCCTCGCCATAAAAATTAAAGACTTCCAGCAATCTGACCAACTGTAACACGTCTCCTTTGTTTTGATTGGCTGAAATAATATGATGTCTACCGTTAACATTCGGTTTCACTCACTGGTCTCTGTAAACATGTAAAAAATGGCGGAATTTAGGCATGTTGAAGGAAAAACAGTGCAAAGGAGTCATTCATCCTCTAAGCGGTAATGCATTTTCACACTTTTGTTAAGGAAGCTTTACGGAAATGTATATCACTGGGCCGAGCAGATGTGTTAACTACAAACCAGTTTCACTCGTCATGAATTGGAGCGGGGGAGGGGCAGTCGTGTGAAAACAAAGGACTTGTCACCCAGATATAGGCGGAGGATAGGAGAGAGGGTTCAGTTGACCCACGATTTTTAATGCAGAGAGCCTTTACTTTACAGGCCTGATATAGAAGTGAATCAATGGGACATTTCTAAGCCATTATTATCAATCACCATTGCTTAAGACACCCTAATGAGCTCATTAGAAAAGATGAACCGCAGATTGATTGCAAAATGGGGCAAGTAAAAAGTAAGATGTAGAGGAGTAGAAGGTGATGGAGGAGAAAGGAAATAGGTCTCATGGATCTCAGAAAGAAGAATGGGAGAGTGAAATTAAATGAGTAAGAGACAGGTCATGTGTCTTGGGCTGTATCTCAAATTCAGAGTTTTTCAAATTCAATATCTGCTTTTGCATCTTTTCAATCTTTTTTTGCAGATTCTGCACAGGCCTTATGAAGATCACAGATATATTTGTTACACTGCGATGCAGAGGTGGTTTCTGAAGGCGAGATGTCATCAAACAGGGTCAACAAAGTGACCGCAAACCCTCGCAGATATAGAAATTATAACTTGACGTCTGTCTCCCACACACAGCCGCTGAATCTTGGCTCTCTGTGGTCCATGGAGCAAAGAAGTTCAAGGCGACCCACCAGCTGTCTTGATAATATGTGGACATATGAAGGAGAGACAGTAAATAAGTAAAAGAACAAAGGAGGAAAGCCAAAGAAAGTCAGTGAAGTCGCAGAAGCAAGAACACAAAGAAGGAGGGGAAACGATGTGTAAGAGATGTGATTCAAGCAGACATTTGTTCCCCTTGGGCGAGCTTGATAGGCCATTCTGTCTGAATTGGGGGGGAATGCTAGAGAACCCCGCTGGTGTTGGATTTTGGCTGCTGTGGTACAACAGCAGATTGAAAAAGTGAAAATATTTAAGAGAAGGTCAGCATTAAAGCAGCAGCAACCCTCTCTGTTTCCACCCAGGACGGAACAGATGTGCTCACAACCCCAGCTGTTGCCAGATGTGGATATAGGACCATCTGTATGAGCTGTTACTGTGTGTGTATGTGTGACTGCGTGTGTTTAAAAAAAAAGAAAAAACAGGCACTAAAAGCTGCTGCATGAGTCAAAGTGAGTAATGTCGCTATTTTTTGATTTGAGTCTGACACCTACCTCTCCAATTACCCCCCGTCAGGATTATTGTAGCTGCTGATAGCCTCAAGGTGAATGTTGGCTGTTTTATGGGAGAAAAAACAGCTCAATGTTTAATTACTGGAACATAGTTTGGAGTGTATACATACACTTTCAGCATCTTGTCACAGTTCTGCATTAAAAAGCAGATCATAAAATGTTTCTGCACAAACACACTTTGATCTCATGTGTGGTCAATTATATCGTGAAGACTGCCTCCATTCATCAGTAGATCCATGCTGACATACAGGCAGCTTCAGTACAAGGTGAATTTACAGGCTGACAATATACGTTTAATGCAACAGTACACTTGTCTTTTTTTAACTCTTCTCAGATATATAAGAACAAAAAAAATATGGCGACTAAAAAACCCCAAAAGAAGATAGAAGGAATACCTAAAAAAAGGAAAAGTCATTTCTTTGTGTGATCCTAGAATATAAAACCTGATGAGACATATAAAGCTATAAAGTGTTATGAGACCCCAGGAGATGGCAGATTAAAATGTGCAAGGGCGATTTCCACCAATAAAGGTGGAGACGGCGGTGGCTCCACCGCTGTGCCGTGCTCCACGAGGCAAAGAGAATGGTCTGAATAGATTTCAGCAACCTTCATAAAGCCAGGACTAAAGCCACTTCACAAAAGGGAGTAGAAACCAAGCCAATCAATTAATGCCCCCCGACAATGACAAGTATAGACAGGGAGAAATGCTTTCAGACCCGGTGCGCGTCTGAAACTTGCTGGGTTCCAACATCCTGTGGCATTGAGCAGGAGAGTCAGGGTCTACTCTCTGCATGTTCACGGCTGCTTTCTTTGTGTGTGTGCATGCGTGAGTGTTCTAATGTATTTGTGTGTGTGTGTGTGTTGAAAAGCTCACTATTGAATGAGTACATTCAACAGAGCACAGAGCTCTTTAAATGCCAATGAAAATAAAGAGAGGGAAATTGTAGGCACTCTGAAGCAACAGGGAAAAAACCAACAGAGCGAGACAGAGAAAGCAAAACCTTACAGTGCCAAAAGAGACTTCATAAGGTTTAGCAGCCCTCCACTCAAATATATGGCGGCCATAAATCCTCCACTTAATGTCCTTTGGGCTCCACTTTTTATGGGTAGTGACAATGACAGTGAGTGACTTCTTCTAAAAAAATGTTAATCAACACAGCAAATTTCAACAAGGCTGTCTGGACAAACTCCAAGGTTTACTCTTTCAAAAACTCCCATTCCAGTAATGAAAGTCGACAATATGCTCTGTTGCACTACACAAGACATTCAAAGGGATGTAAAATATTATGTTTCCACTGAAGTTTGGAAGGAGTAAATCATTAGCAGACAGCCCAATACATGATACTGTGTTGTTAAGAAGGCCACACTTGATGAAATACATTTGTGTTGGGTTTCTTTTCTGGCATTGCTTTTAAAATTGACATTTGCAGTGACACTGCAGGTAGAAAGATAGAGCTGAACTTAAGTATCAATGGTAAAATCTACTACTCATTTATCAAAAGTAAAAGTGCTCTTGTGAAAGGTAAAGTATTAATGCACAGAACTGAAGGAGAAGATACTTCATATAGTCTTGAATGGTCTCAACTCCAATAATGCATCCTATTATCTTAGTAACAAGATGATGAAAGGAGTTCACTTAAAGTAAAAATTCAACATTTTGAGAAATACGCTCTTTTGCTCTATCGTAGTCAGATGAAAAGATCAAAAAAGACTGGAAATGGGGAACCAGCTCGCCTGGCTCTGTCTAGTAAGAACAATATCCATCTACCAGCATCTCTAAAGCTCACTATTTAGTTTTATTTAATCCATAATTTTTCTTTTAAAACATTAATTCAACATTTTACCCCCTTCTGTTTTACGAATTGTTTAATTGACTAATTCTTGTACCTGAGTAGGCAACCCGGGCAACCAGTGGAGACTCCAGGAAGTTACATCTGGCCGAGAAATAGGTCGGCACATAACCCCCAGGGAAATGTTTTTGTAGCAATTAAACAAATAAGATATCCCATGTTGATTCAGTAGATTTAATGATTCTGGTTGGCAGATTTGGACAGAGCAATCGTTTCAATATTTGGTTTTAGTATTACACTTGGGGGAGATTTTTAAAAGAATGGCGCAAGAGAGGCCATTTTTGCCATTCTAAAATATTAAAAAAATTCACAAACACATGGAATGCACTTTTTATTTATTGTTTACAATAATGTGGAGGCCAACAGGAGTCTGTACATTAAGATTAGACTGTTGCAATGTAAGCATCAGTCTTACACAATATTTTTCTCTCCAGAGGAACATGAGTGAGTTTTGCTTCTGCCGTGGGACAAGTTTTTACAAGTAGAGCCAAACAGCTTAGTCAGTCATAATCAGTTGGAGATGTGTGAGGACCAGTGAGTGACTCATTTCAGGTGACAGCAGAGGAGAGCAGTAATTCAAATTATATGTTTTCAAAAGTAAGCATTCGAGATTCTTTTTTGTTTTTTGTTTTCTTTGGAGATATCTGGTGTTCCTCCAGCCAAGGGCATTAACTGACTTCTGCTGTGCTTTGAGAAATGTTCCACAGTCTTCATGGCAGTCACTCAACATGTGTGAAGAATAAAAATAATTAATTTACATTGAGCAATGCTCCAAAATTACATTTATTTTGTAAATAAAGTGCTGCTCTATGGCATTCTTATTTGTTAATAATCTAAAAAACAGAGTCAACGAAATATTGTTGCTGAATACAACGTTAAGTGTGTTTAGTGTGTTAAGTATTTTAAGATTTTATGTTTTATATCTTGTTAAGCTTTAAAAACATCACTGATTATGGGAACCAGACCAGTTGATTATTCAAAAGTCGATATGGTAGTGAACTAAAAAAAACTACTTTGGAAGATACCACATGATTTTCTAACTCTGACTGTTCTAGACTGTTGAGGCCTCATATTATCTTTATCTGAACTTCAGAATAAGGGTCTGTGGATTTTGTCCTCCATGTCTTACAGTGTAGTGTTTTATTCTGAAGGGCTCTGGGTGAAGTTGTACAGCTTTCTTTGACCAAATGCAAGTTATGTATTTTGCTCATTGGCATATTTGCTTGTACAATGTACAGTAGTAACTGTTGTACTTAAGATTAACAAGACAAGGTATTGATCCCCCTGCAGTTTATATCATAATTCCTGCCTTGCATAATGCAACAGTTTTTACAGGCTGAGTAGTACTCATGACAAATAAAGTCAACTTCATGAGTAAGGTAAAATGAAACCCAAGTAAATGCACTTCCACTTACAAATACAACATAGTATAGTAGTAGTAGTAGTAGTAGTAGTAGTAGTAGGGGTGGTAGTCTGACGTGCCTGCGTACAATTGCTGCAAAGTTGACAGTCTTTACAAGAGATTACAACAGCTCAGAATGTTTTCCATTAGTCTTGTTTTTTTTGCGTGTGTTATTAAAGCTCAACCATCAAGGTTTTTGAGGATGAAAAGGCTCGTCATTGGGAATATAGTTCATGGGAACTTCTTCCCTTCTGATTTGATGATTACCCATGTTTTTATACCCCCCACTTTCTAACTGGTCCAGCGTAGACAAGTGTGCACCATCATTCCCTGTGCCATCGAGGTGTTTCAACAATCGTGAGCAAGCCCAAACAATACTCTGTCCAAGGATTACTCACTGTTTTCTTTGGAGAGCCAGTTTGTTTTTATATTTTGTCCATATATCCATGACTCCATATAACTGAGCTCTGTGATGTCAGCCTTTTCTCTTTAGGTTTCTGGTTGTTCACAGTCGGTCTTGATGGCTCATCAAGTTGTCATGGCCTTCCAGCTTTTACAGCATTCCTTTCTTTATGTCCTGAGTTTTTTTCCATCAATGCACACTGCACACTGGCTGCGCCATAAAGTAAACCCACGAGTCGACCAAAAGCTTTGAGGTGCACTCAAGGCCAGGTACATGGTGTTGATGTTGGAGGAGTCCTGCCTTCATTCAGAGTGTGATGCCACTTCGGGCTTGGCTTTCGTCTTGGAGGAACAGTAGGAGGTCACTGTCTTTGAAAGACTGCCTTGGTGTTGTGCGAAAACAACAGGGACTTGCTCCAGGAGAGGAAAAGCTGTGTGGGAGAGAAAAAGGGGGAGAAAGTTTGGTTGCCACGGCCTTGGTTTCATGTTCGACAGAGGAGCCATCATCACTAAGCTGGAAGAGGAGAGCAGGGATGGTGACTTAGAGACGACTAGGCCAACAGACATGATAGATGTCTTTAATAACCTCTGGCTGCTTTTTTAGTGTCCTCTAGGATTCGTTGTTATTAAGATCTAGGTCTTATTATGATGACCACCTCTTTCATCGTCTCCCACGTCTCACTGGGCGTCAGTCCAGTCAGTCAAAATAAACATAAAGTCAAAAGCCCCCCCTGTACTTGTGCTGATGTGGCACTTGTTGATGGTGCCAGCATGTCTCAGTCCTGACCAAGGAATACGTGGCTTTCGCAATAGTCAGCAACGAGGAGAAAACAAAACACCCTTGCTTGGTGATCACCTGTTGAATCAGTTGGAATCTGTTCCACAAAGCCCTGTGGCAACTAACATCACCACATTACAGGGTAGATTGCGAAAGCATGTTTAGGTAAATGGCGTTTGATGGTTTTAATAAGCATTTCCATTACTGAAAAGGAAGGAGGAAGAGGAGCTTATTGGGAATACGCGCAGGACCACGGGAGCCGTAAGGACTCACGCTCATCATTGCTGAAAAGCAAAATGAGAACGATTTTATTGTGCTTCCATTTCTTTTGAAAATAACAATCACAAACACTCAGTCCTTTAGTGTGTCTAAGTAGCTTCAAGCTCTATCACAAGCATAGATTTGGTGAGGGCCCATGTTTTATTAATTTGCAGATGAGCTCAGCTATTGATGGCGTTGGCCGCCCATGGGTTCAATTAGGATAATACAGGGAGAGGGGCAGATTATGGGCGGCTATTTAAGTGAGGGTATATCTCTTCCTGACAGTTATAGTCCAAATGCAACAAATTGCACCTCGGTGGCTGTGAGCGGCGCCATATCAGTCCTCCAGTGATGAAACATGCCTGTGTGGCAGGTCAGCCGTGTGGAGACGACACCAGGCTGTGTGAGCCATGTAGTCCGTCCTCTCTGAGCTAACAACGCAGGCCTGAGTGCAGCCTATTCCCATTCAGTTAATAGGGGCCATTTAGAAAACAGCGGTCTATACGGTGGTGCGCTGAGTGCATGCTCTACCCAGCCAACCCTAAACAGTCCCACTTAGCACGACTTTCTCTAAACTATTGCACTTCTTCTCTCCGGCACTCTCTGGGTTGAAAGCCTGCGAGTGTTGACAGCTGAACAGGGCAAAACTGAACCACGTAAACATCTCGTTTTACAACTACAAGGCAGGGTGTGTGAATATTCTCACAAGCAGCCATAAAAGGAGGAACGGTTGTGGCCTGCATGTGGGACAAGTAACTGCTCACAGCCTTTTCTTTCTGTGTTCTGGGGGTGAACATTTATTATGATTGATTGGGGCCTTGACTGTAACTTCGCTGTGCAATGAAAACAGTCTACTGTACATTGTCTCTGTAGCGCATTGTGTGAAATTGAATAGGGGGGCCATAAAGTGGAACCGGAGATACTGACCCAAGCATGCCGAGCCTGCCCGTTATCTTACTTTTCTGCTCAGTCCGTCCAAAGCATTAAAACTGCAGACAGCTCTATAGAGAGTGGCTGGACTGTTTGCTTTCTTTTGCTTAGGGAAATGACGACTGTTTCTCAGCTGCATTGGGGCAGCATGTTTAGGCTACAGTCAGTGAGATAACCCAGTCCTCCTCTCCGCACCCTGACAGCAACAGTTGGGGAAAGAGTGAGCACTCGCAGGAGCAGTGTAGGCCGGCTCATGGAGGATGAGGAAGAAGATCCTCCTAAGTTTGTGTTTCTACTCAAGAGCAGGTCGTTTCAGCCTGAGTGCTGCTCCTTCAAAGCCATACATTTTAACAACCTCTGTCTTCAACTGACTTGCTCTGCCACCAGGTGGAGTGTAATACATATAAAAATCCAGAATTCCTAACAATAATACTGTATGAAATCCACTTCTTGTTTTATCTGCCAACATGGCAGTAAAATTAATGACAGGTCCGATGTAGGATGTAAAAAGGACTTGCATAAATTCAGCAAACAGCCTAGTATCACCTGAATATCTATCCATCTTAATTCCTGACCTGTGAAGCACTTTATCATCCTGACCCACTAACCCTTCCCTCTCCTTGTTTGCCTGCCACGGCTTTCCCTATTCCCCGCTCCAGCCAGGCCGGGGCAATAGGGCACCGCTAATGTGCTTGGTGGGTCATTAATTCTTCGGATGGCCATGGGGGCAGCAGAGCAGGCGAGCTTTGTTGTTTGATGTTGGGCGAAATGGTGGTGGGGAGGCAAAGCAGATGTTTGTGTTGGCTGGCAAGGGAAAGCAGTACACTTGATGCCAACCCAATCACTATCTCATGCTAGGCAACAGCTGCCCAAATACATTTCAGCCAAAGTCTGGCAAAGAGAGGCAAGGGTGACCAGATCAGATTTAGCTCACTTTTGCTGATGTTCCTTTAACCCTGACATATTTTTTTTAATATACCAAAGCCACTCACTTCAAGGTCTGTCCAGTGGCCAGTGTGTCTTTTTGTTTGTCTAAAATAATCTTGGGCTAGTGAGATTGTTCAAGGAGATTTTGTTTTAATGTGCAAGTCTTGAAGCTGAAGGTGAACTGGACACTGATAAATCTAAAACACATGGTAGTTTGTCTGCTTGTATTTGTTGTGTGTAGCTGATGTTCACTGTGCTTTTGTCTTTGAGGAGAGATGGGAATCGGAGAGGACAAAAAGAAAAGGAGCCGTAGACTAACCCAGATTTTTTTTCGCTGGCCACAGTAAAAATATAACAATGTATGCGCATACATAGACCCCAGAACAAGGACAGTTCATTTAACTCTCTCCTGCCTCTCCACTCAACTGATATGAGCCATTCATCACCGCCCACCTTCATATCTGTGTGCTGCCCAGAAAAGACAGTGTATGCGTGTGTATGGAAACAGATTAAAGATAAATATCTTCTATGTAGCCCACACGTTCTGATGTTGTAGAATTCCCCAACATTTATGAGATTCAGGCGAGGAATACAGTTTGCGTCCTGCTAACACTCAGAGTGTGCTGCCCTCTACTGCTGTCTGCATGAACATGTGGACTCAAAACATCTGCTGTTTAAAAAATACACTGCGTGAGTATTTATGCTTAACAATGTCAACCTTGTGTAAATAATGTTTTAGTCGTCGCCCTGTGTAAATAAAAAACCTTTACTTATTTTACTACTCATTATCCACTCATACCTGAATGACAAGTAATCAAATGGTTCCATGATGCATCCAAATCTTTTTCTAGTGAAGTGTTGAATTTTCTAAACCGCCATAAAAGGAGTCATTTTAAACAGCATGCACAAGGGAATTCAAGCGTTTTGTTGCATGATTAAACTGAGTTCAAATTTAAATATATTTACTTTTCCATGTCTTATCCAATATGTTTTTTTTCCTAGCATTGTATCTTAACAATATTTTTGTTAGCCTAATAAAGTACTATGGGGGTTTGTTGAATTAGCATTTCGAGGTAAATAATGTCTTTAATATGCAGTAATGTTTTTCTCAAACAGAAATTTTGATTATTACTGGGAAAATATTTATCCAAGCTGCTGCTAATTGCATCCTTGCCATCTTAATTACATAGCACTTGCCTGGCTCTAATGTGATGTTTGCTTCCAGATACAAAAGGTGGTTCAAAGGAGGCACACCTCATATGAAGCTAAGATGAAAGGTTCACTTACGACTCACTAATTGTCCCTCTCTATACGTTGCTGTACAGTATGTTTGGTAGCTGCCTCTCAAAATAATGAGAGGCCATGCACCTGAGAAAGGAAAGAGCTACGCTGTCACGATGCAGGAAGATTTCTAATCCTGAATTATCATTGGCTCATTCGTCATCTCTAATTTAGTAGAGGTGGAGCGAGGGAATCAAAGGAGGCAAGTAATAAGGACCCACAGTAGCCGGCAAGGTAACCGTGGTTACGTGTGGTGCATTAATGTATGTAATCTGTTACTGTGTCTGTAACAAGACAAGGACATGTAGTGTGCTAATTAAAGGAACCTTTCACTGCTCCTCGCTTAGACACAGGTCATATCTCATTAATGATGCTCTCAATGCAAGGGGAGTCATTCATTACTGGCCATTTGGAGAAAAAAGGGAGGATGTGTGGATGGAGGGAATTCCTGTTTGCACATACAATACATAGCATGCAAAGCTGAAAAGGTATTTCCTTACAGAAGAATAGCGCGAAGGGCCCGAGATCACCCAAGCAACACCATGTTAGAGATTTATTATATAATATTTAAAAAGGGCCACTTTATAACAAGAATAAAAATCATGCTTGGTTAAAAAAAAAAGAATTGTTTTGTCCAAAAACATTCTTTTTTATTTTTTAAATGAAGGGGTATTTACAAGAAGAAAAAAAAAGAGTCAATGTCAGGTTAATGTCATGTACATTACTAAATACAAAAAATATATCATTGAAAAAAATAAAATAAACCACATCTTCAAAATGCTTTTATTTCTGAAACACCAGTCTGAAAAAATAAAATAAAAATAATAATAATAAAACTAAACAAACAGCAGAGCTTACTCCTGGGATGAGGGTTCAGCATGAAACCTATCCACCTTTAAGAAAAGGAGAGGCACAGCCTTACGGTCAGTGCTTGTACCTGGATGTTCAGTGCACAGGGACACGCATACAGCAACCATCGGATGGTAGTGCACAGGCAGAAAAGGCTCGTCTGCAATTCAAACAGCATTTTAGTGGCTCCAGTAATATTGCAAACAAAGCCTGGGGAATGTCTTTTTGTTCCTACTGTAACCCCCCGCCCTCTGGACAGAAAGAACAATGTTTTCCAATATGCTCAAACGCCACAGCAAACAGCCCTCCATACAATTAAAAAATATATATTGAGAAAGTCTAAAGGAGCTTGAAAGGCAGTAGAGGTCATGGGTGTAACTATGTTTTTGTTTTCTCTTTGTGGTCATAAGAAGCTGGTGATCACTGCATTTGCCCATGATCACAAAAAAACAAAAACAAAAATAACCATAACTGCTTCACTTATCTGATCTAATCTCATAATAAAATATTCTAAATGATTCCCTCATGATGTCGGCATAGTAATCTTTGTTGTCCCGTGACTGATCTTGACATAAATTGATTTGTATTCTCACAATTATTAGAGAAGACGTGCCAGATGTTGTAATTAACTATAATCCATACAAAGCAATCTCTATCCGATACTGCTTTGTGTCATTAGATTGTTAAACAACTGCCGACAACCGCAGGAGCACCATCACTCCCTGAATATCACAGTAATATTACATGGACACTTCCTTTGGTTGCAGTTGCATCCGTTTAAACATCAACGGTATTGAAGTCTGATGTAAAATATGAGCAGTGACGTTTGGCAGCACAATCCATGGCATTATTATTTAATGGTCATGAGAAGACAGTATGCAATATTATGTCGAGATCACATAATGCAGTGATCGCCGGAAAACAAGCGATTCTTATGCCGAGATCATGTAATCACTCATCTATTCCATGATCGAGAGAAAATAAAACAAATGACGGCTAGAAAGCGACACCTGTGCGTGCTACTGCCAAAGCTGCACAATAGACTGTTTCTAAAAATTTGAACAGGAACAATAAACATACTGTATACTTTTTTTTTTAAACCAAGTGCAGTAGCTGATGGAAAATTAGCATAAGTGTTCAAAATTCCCTGTCTTCCTTTGAAAAACATTGTGATCCATGCTAAAAATCCATGGGCCGACTCTCCACTACATCTAACTGAAATCTATGGAAAAGAGCTTTAAATACTAAATAATATTAACTGATAAAATTATAAAATGAAAAATAACCTCCTTGGCCAAGTTAACTCCCATGGCTTCTACATTTTCCTGTAAAGGAGTCCCTGTCTGAATATGAAAGCAAACAAGCAGTCCAAGACAAGTGCAAATCCTCCCTGAGACTGGTCTATGTACTTACACAGACATCAGATTCAGCATTATACAACCCCAAGTACCCTACTAGGAGACTAAACAGGTCACACTGACCGGCCTAAAAATTGTGTTTGGTGCCATTTCTGCAGCTACAGTAGCACTGTTTTCATACAACATTTAAGACAAAACACAGGGATTCATCATCGTCAATCAGTCACAATAAGGCTCCGAGAGCAGCATGTAAACCAGACTGGTCAGAAATCAAGTGGATCACAAAACATGTTTATGTTGATCACACAGTTATTATTGCTAAAATGATTATCATTTTGATTTATTTGAATGGTGAACCCCCTCCAGATACCTGACCAGGAGCTGGTCTCCATCCACAGATATGTAGAGCTGTGAGATATCACAGTAACTGGAGATGGGTGGGAAGAGCTGAGTGAAGTGAATCAGCATGTGATCCTCTGACATGCCTCAGGGACTCAGATCCTCTGGTGGCTGACAGAGAGACATAAGGTCGTCATGTGTCTCTGAGGTGACCTCGGCTCTGCAGGCTCTGGAAGTGGGCCTGCTTCAGGATGCGGTTGATCTGCAGGTAGGACGCCAGGTTTGTAGGGCCGGCCGGTTCTGAGGACTCACCGGAGCTGAGGGGACTGCAGGGGCCCACAACACACTGACTCCCAGCCGCGTGTTCTGGACTGCTGATGCTGCTGCTGCTCTCGCTGTTGGATGACTGAAGTGCAGATGTCAACATTAGCAGTGTGCTAGCTACATAAAAACATCAACATCCAGGGGTTCCACAATAACACAGACTTCCATTTCAGAGAGTCAACTCCGCCTACCCAGCAGGAGAGACGCTTTGCTATGTGCTGGGATTTTATTACTGAATTATGAGCAGGTTGCACAGACTGTGTGGAAACTAGGGCTGTGTATTGGCAAGAATCTGGGGATACAATATGTATCACAATAGAAGGGTTACGATTCAATATATTGTCATAGTCCCTGTAACATCCAGCATAACAGCCCTCAGTTGACAACACTGCTACCTAGCAGTTGGGGGATTTAACACAAAAATCAATGTAGTATTTTTGAGAATCAATACAATATTACAAAACAAAATACTGCAATACAATATTCTTTGATAGTTTCTTACACCCCTTGTGCAGATTATGAAGAAAGGCATTAAAATGTGAGGTAAAAAAAAAGACTCACATAGGAGTAGTTGTTTCTTTTTATATGTCACTGTTGTTTTTTAATGTTCAAATGTTTATGTGTGTAAGTACATGGGATTTATTGTTTGTTTTTGACCGTGGTATTGAATTAGGTATGAAGAATTGTGGAATATCACTAGTATTGGTATCGACTACTAAATTTCTGGCATTGGACATCCCTACTTGTTACTTAAGTTTGTTTTTGCTGGCGTGTTTACTGTCAAACTGTACCGAGACAGCTTGGAAAGTGGGGTCTCAGTCTGCTTCGAATTCTAGTGCAGTTGGTTGGAAGCAGACCAATCACAGAGTTTACAATAGTCAACAACAGTAATGTTGGCATGAATGCCAAATCTAAACTACTATTTAATCCATCTGTTGATAAGGAACCTGGTAGATCCTACACAATCATATTTAGGTAAGATTATTTGGTAACAATGGGAGCATGTGTGTGTGTGTGTGGGGGGATTTTACCCACACTCACACAAATCTTTACTCAGACAGTGAAAACTAGTTGTAACAGAAGGGGTAATATTAAGCTACAAGATGCAATTTTTTCTCTCAACTAATAATGAGTATCTGTTTCTTTGTGAGCTCATTTGTGAAAACAAAAAAGAATAATGCACAGAAAAGTGTTGCATGACTTTCGGTCTGTCCTTAATTTAGATTCTTAAAAGCTAGGTGTGAACAGGAAACAGACTACAACTAATAAAGCATCGGTTCATTACTATTATTATTTTCTTCTGTCTCTTTTTAGTGGGGACAAAGCGAAACAACCTACCTAAAACTCTGGCTACAAACAAAAGAGTAAGACAACTACGTACGCAGCTTCTGTTACAGTTTCTTTAGTATTAAGATTTCATTCCCACAGCTTTGTACCTCAGAGTCCCAGGCATCCCGGCCCGGCTCAGGAGAGAGAGGATGACCTCTGCTGTGCCTTTTGGCTTGGGGCACCAGGTGGCCGCTCTCCTCATCACCACCACTGCGCTGCCGTTTCCTGTTTAAGTGCAAACAGACATTTAAAATCACACACACACACACACACACAGACACAGTATAGGCTCACACACACACACACACACAGACACAGTATAGGCTCGACACACACACACACATATAGTTGCTGTGAACTGAGCGTGAACCCTGAATATGTTAGCATACTCCGGTAACCAACAGTTTTTAAATGGCTGCTTCAAGTGGTTGATTTACCAGTTAGCTTTAAATAAATTGTATCGTAGGCCGAACTCACCTGTTTTCAGTCAACATATGATGACACTAAAATCAATCTCGACGAGTTTCCTTTGTATTTGTTCGGACCAGACTGGAAGGCTGGTCGGCGTTATCGACTCGTTTCCTGTCAGTCGACGGCCTATCACCTGAGTTAGCAAACTAACCTTGCCTCGCTAGCTAATTACGTTTAATATCGACGAGATACTTGTAGTCATCTTGGCAAATACTAAAAGATGATTCTGATATAATTAACTACAGCGATACTTTAAGTAATTGGCTATTAAATAGTACAAAGATCGGGCGTTAACGACCTAGCGTTAAGCTAGCCAGTCCCACAACGCTGTAACGTTAGGTTGTAAGCTAACGTCGCCGCTAGCTAATGTTTGTAGCCGCTTCTCTTCATTAGCTTGCTGAGCACAGCACATACAGCAGGTATCGCTTAGTTTCTTTGATAAGATTCAACTGTTTCACAGCCGGAGTAAAATTACACCTCTTTTGCTTCAACCTAGCTAACTATAACAGTCCCAGCTACAACCACAGCCAACCGCAGCAGTTGTGTTTACATGGTACTGCGGCTGCGCGAAGACCAGTAGTGGCGCCTTTAAGGACTATCTGTAAAATATGTTTTGTTTTATGCTATAATGGAGAACCAGAGTGGGGTTTTCTGTGGCATCAGATATGTGAAGTGTAGTGATATTCACGACGACAATGATTGTAACTGAAGCGATGAACTCTCTTATTTTCTCCTTAAACGTATGTTATACGTGACTTTCGGAAAGGAAGTAGGATTTTACGGGCAGCGCTTAAAGGCAGCATAAAATAACACTGGCGCACATTCTATAATGCAAGTAAGCTGCTAGGCAACTCAATGATTCACTGGAGTTAGCTTCACCACGAGTTTATTAATTTGTTCATGCTATAAAAAAGTAATTGGTCTTAATCAGAAACACTAAACCACAAATGATGCCCTATGGCCTGACACAATGTTCATTTCCCCAAAAGATGTCGCTGTTTACAACAGAACGATTTCATTCGACACATAGATGAATGTAATTATTGCTTTAAGGCTATAAAATACCGAATACTGTATCTTTAATTAAAAAAAACAAAATAAAATCTACAATAATAGACAGTGAGTGCAGCCCGTCTGCCCATACAACCATTATGGCTATTTTACACCAAAGTATGGAACAATATCCAGTCTAGGGGCATATAACTATTATTGTTTCGTATATAGGAGTGAAAATGCTGCAACAAAACATCCAATCTGACCGAATGGTTGACATCTTCACAACCCGGAAGTTACACCCTGTAGTGCAGCAGGTCCAGCCAGCCAATAGTGTAAAAAGAAAACGCCTCCACCAATGACTCAAGCGAAGGACGGAGCTGAGATTAACAGGGATTCTCAGCAGCAGCAGTCCTGTTTATTATAAAGGGAAATAATCGCAATGGGCAGCACCGACTCAAAACTGAACTTCAGGAAAGCAGTGATTCAGCTGACAACCAAAACACAGGTATATGTGCCTCTATACAGCTCAGTAAAGGATCACATAGAGAGACAGTGTGTCGATGAGCGCACCGGAGAGCATCACCGCGGAGATGAGATAACGCGTATGATGTGGTAGCAAAAGGAAAAAAAAGAAAAAAAACAAACTGTCTAATGTTGCATGCGGGATTTTCAGTTGACATTCATTTATTTTGCCATAAGCGACATGTAAATAAAGTCTGTGCGATTAAAAAAAAAAAAAAAAAAAGCTGCTATGCACCGTACTCCAAATATGTCGTGTTTGTCATAAACTGTTGGAGTAAACGATGGTGGACACTGTGCTGCAGATTACCATGAACCTTTATTCAGGCTGTACATGGCGTAGTTAAAGCAAAGATGATGACGTAGGTCTGGAAATGACCACGTTTGCAGATGCGGCAGGTGGACTGTGCTCAGATCAGTGTGCCAGATAATGCTCGCTGCTATAATAGAGGTTGTGTTTACATTGCCATTAGGTAGGCCCTGGGTGAGCTATATAATGAAAGACTGAACAACCATGTAGGCTTATGTATTGTGATAAAAAAGGGCAACATGATATTTGAATGCACCACAAGATCAACCAGGCTTTTAGAATTTCAGATCTCATAAAATCCTCCTCTTGGCTCACATATATGGGAATTGAAATAAAAACATGTTCTTTCCAGCCAGTGGAAGCCACGGATGATGCCTTTTGGGACCAGTTCTGGGCAGACACCACCACCACAGTCCAGGATGTTTTTGCACTGGTGCCAGCAGCAGAGATAAGGGCCGTTCGAGAGGAGTCCCCCTCGAATCTAGCAACCCTTTGCTATAAGGTACATTGTGTATTAACTGTTAATGCATCTGTGTGCAGATGTGTTTATGAGATGAGATTGCATGGGGACATTCCTTGCTTTGAGGCTGTATCGTGGAATAATTTTTGTTTTGAAACAATGCAGGATTTTGTTTGTTAGAGCCCAGCACAGTCTGTCAGCAAGGCACTGCCTCATGCACTCAGATGTGGGAAAAAGTGAGTCAACTCCCCTTCCTTTCCCCCATGCTTCCTGTCTCTTGGTCCCAGCTTCCGTTTGAAGCTGCCTATCAGAAGCAAAACAGAAATACTGTGGTACTTACAGCCTGATTAAATAAAGAGGAGGAGATGAGAGCCCTTGAAGCTGAGCAGATTCCAAGGGCTACCTATTTTAGACACAGGCTTATAATGAGTCATTTTCAGGTCAAAGGCCCAAAACAACATATGTCCCCATCTAATAGGCGCAATATTTTCATTTTGAAATGAAACAAACTGAAAATATCTAGTTCACTTCTCAGGGTAAATGTGTATAAGAGGTTCTGCAGTTTGTTAGTAAAATGGTTATATCTTTGTTCTCCAGAAACAAAACCATTAGTGTCCACTAAAGTTGAAACAAAAAATACATATTTGCATAGTGTCTTTACTGCCCAACAGTCCCATCATTAGCAAGTCTAAGAAACTGAGATGTTTACTATGGAACCAATGTTGCTGTAGCAAATTAGATATGTTTGTTTTATCTGTGTGCCTGGCCCACGCACTCACTCTCATGTACACCTTGATTCTTGTCTCCCCAGGCCGTGGAGAAGCTGGTGCAGGGTGCAGAGTCTGGTTGCCCCACAGAGAGGGAGAAGCAGGTGATCCTCAACTGCACTCGCATCCTGACCCGCATCCTTCCCTACATCTTTGAGGACCAGGACTGGAGAGGATTCTTCTGGTCAACAGTGCCTGGTGCTGGGCGGGCTGGGGTGAGTGGGCACAGGAAAGGAAAACCTTCTTGCAAAAAGCATCAAGACTGGTCTTTTAATTACTCAACACTTTTTTTAAAGTGTCACTTTGAACACAGGATGTTTGTTGCTTTCTCACTCCAGTGTAATGAAAGCTCTGAGGTTATATGAGCACATATCCTTCTCTTGTCAACTGAGAGAAGGATCATATATCTTATCACTCGGTTTCCTCATTCTCATTCACTTTTTTCTTGGTAAAGCAAGAAATGTAATGCTGAAAGGTAATTTCATCTGTACTGAGACATCTGTTTCAAGCTCTTTTTTTCCATTAACATAACTACTTTTAATAAATGCTAGAGAATACCGTTCCTCATCTGGATCTGGTCTCATATATATGTGCATCCTTTCCAGACGGATGAGCTGGATGATGATGACGGAGCTCGACCACTGGCTGAGTCGCTGCTCCTGGCTGTCGCTGACCTGCTCTTCTGCCCTGACTTCACCGTGCACAGCCATAAGAGAGGCCCTGTGAGTACCCGGTTTGGCATTTCATCACCATCCAGCAAATAGAATAATTGCTGACACATTATGACCATAGTTGGAAAATGGTTAACATGATTTGCTATTATTATTCATCGTTGTTTTTTGGATCCCTGTTCGGTTCTGTTACAGCGGTTGCAAATCCTCCTGGGGTCCGAGTACAATTACACAAACAATGACAGCATACAGACATAACAACAAAGAACAGACAGAAAAACATTGTCTGACTCCATCAGTCTAGAAAATATGTGCTGTTCATTTTAAAGGTTAAAAATGTTTTTGAGAGCTGTTTCCTTCTTCCTTGTGTAAGGTTGCCCAACAAACCTGTCACTCAAGTTTCTTCGAAAAGAGAGAACATAGAAAGAGATCATGATTAAACACCGTCAGACAGGCCAGAAAGAATTCCTTGTCCCTCATGAGCTAGAAAGGAATGTTGCATGTCAGTGAATGCCCTTTAGAGGTTTTAACTTCCGTGATAAACTGTAGAATACTGTCATCACTGCATCATGACAAATGCGCTCAGATACAGCTCCTGTGCGAAGTTCAGAAAAAGTGAGACTGTTCTTTTGTGACTGCATCTTTTTTGCATTTGTTTCTTAAGACAAACCATGTTTATTGATAATCGCAAAGCAGGAAGACGTGTGTAAGTGAGGACAAAGGAGTGCACATCCTATTTCTTACCAACACTCTCTTTTGACCTTAACATGTGTTTTAATTGCCTTAACCTCAGCCTGTGCTGTGACCATGATGTTTTCCTTTTTTAGTTTCCAAAACTTTTTTTTTTTAGAACGTAGCATTAAACAGCCTAATATGTCCTTCATGTTTGAGGACTTGTTGAAAGAATAAAGTAACATTTGATCTAACAATTTGATCTATGAATGTTTTCTGTGACCACATCCAGGACTCGGTAGAGAGCATGCAGTCTATAGACAGCTGTGAGTACATCTGGGAGGCAGGGGTGGGCTTTGCACAGTCCCCCCCTCTCAACTACATCCATGACCTGAACAGGTGAGTTGGTCAGCTCTGCGCCGCAGTGCTTATCTCTCATTTTCAACTGGGATTGACTTCTTTTTTTTATCCACCTCTGTGCTTTTTTAACTGATCCTCTTCAGGACAGAGTTGCTGAGGTTATTACTAACCTGCTTCTCAGAGGCCATGTACCTGCCCCCCTCACCGGACAACAATGTCCTCAACCCTTGGGTGACATTCTTCTGCTCCACAGAAAATAGGTAATGGGCAAATGTTGGCACAGTCACAAATGTATGAACAAACAAATGTGATATGTGAATTTTCACTTTAAATTACCACAACAGACTGTAAGCAGAATTTAGCCAGGTCAGAGAGCACAAGAGTCGTTTTTTGCTAAAAAAATAAATAGATCTGCTCTAAGGTCCACTTTTAGGTTTTGTTTTCAGAGCTTTCAACTCCCTCTCACAGTCTTCATCACAAGTGGAGTTTGCTCAGTTACTATGGAGGTTGCTCTAGGCTCAGTTGTCAGTGCAAATACAAATCTAAATAAAGCTTGTAAGTGGACCATGAGTGAAGTTTTTTGTCTAACTACTGTCTCCAAAGTCAAGAATATCACCTGTATTTGTGCTGTCATATTATTTGATATTAACACAGATATTATGCACAAATGCATTTTAATTTCTCTGGTGGACATCACTTCATAATTTCTGTAATCGACAAGAAAAGGATAGTTAATTACAAACTACAGTATATTGCATTTTTCATTCAATAATGACAGCTAGAGCTACAGAGGGTAAACTCTGAATACAGTTGCACATGATTCACTAACATGATTCATATCTTTGTCCCTAGACACGCTCTTCCTCTGTTCACCTCCCTGCTGAATGTGGTGTGTGCCTATGATCCAGTGGGCTACGGCATCCCGTACAACCACCTGCTCTTCTCTGACTACCGGGAGCAGCTGGTGGAGCAGGCTGTTCAGATCCTCATCGTGACGCTGGAGCACGACGGAGGGGTTTCCCACCGCCCCGTCTCCCCGTCCAGCATGGAGGAACAAGAGGTACGTCACCAAGACCACTGCAAAGAAATAAATCCCATGACTATATGGCATGTGTTGTCATTCAAACAAATCTCTTTATCTCTCTGCAGTCTACAGGCCCTGAAAACCTGTTTGTGAATTATTTGTCGAGGATTCACAGAGAGGAGGTATGCTGATCATTATTCATATAAAATACATAGCGATCTTCCATGTAAAGATGCCCAAAGCTCAACCTTCCATCTCTCCATTGGCAGGACTTTGACTTTGTATTGAAGGGCCTCGCTCGTCTGCTGACCAACCCTTTGACTCAGACTTACCTGCCTAACTCTACCAAGAAGATCCAGTTCCATCAAGAGCTGCTAGTGCTTTTCTGGAAGCTTTGTGACTTCAATAAGGTTGGGATAAAGAACCAAAATGAAGACTGTCTTTTGGAAGATGTAGCATTAAAAGTCTGTGCTTTATTCAACAAAATCGCATTTGTGTTCCCACAACAGAAGTTCCTGTTTTTTGTCCTGAAGAGTAGTGATGTGCTAGATATTCTGGTTCCTATACTCTACTACTTGAATGATGCCAGGGCTGACCAGTGTGAGTCTCACCCCAGTGTTGTTCTTGCACCCAACAAGCCCCTATAATGGAAATACATTTCCAAACTTCTGACGTGCTTTATCCTTGTTTGCAGCCCGTGTTGGACTCATGCACATTGGTGTGTTCATTTTGCTGCTGCTGAGCGGGGAGAGAAACTTCGGTGTGCGCTTGAATAAGCCCTACTCCGTCCATGTGCCTATGGACATCCCAGTGTTCACAGGGACTCACGCTGACCTGCTTATTGTGGTGAGATGTCTACTACATTACATCATCTGAAATGGTAATGTTCTTTATCTTTATTGTCATACAGTTAATGCTCACAGCTGTCACTATGTTTGTTTTGCAGGTGTTTCACAAGATTATCACCACGGGCCACCAGCGTCTCCAGCCTCTGTTTGACTGCCTTCTCACTATTGTTGTAAATGGTGAGTTACTTTGGCACCATCTGTTTGTCTGGCAACGCACAGATTTTATTTGCAACATCAACTATTTCAAAGTTGTAACATCTCATTATGCCACTTAATCAAATAAAAATGCCTGGTTTTCTATGTTTAATCACACAATCACTCCTCTTAAGATTTGTTCTTCCTCTGCAGTGTCTCCCTATTTAAAGAGCCTGTCCATGGTGGCAGCTAATAAACTGCTCCACCTTCTGGAGGCCTTCTCCACCAGCTGGTTTCTGTTCTCTGCAGTGCAGAATCATCACCTTGTATTCTTCCTTCTCGAGGCTTTCAACAATATTATCCAGTACCAGTTTGACGGTAAGAGAAAGCTGATCCGTAACAGAATGTTGTTGTCAAGATCGAGGTATTAGAAGGAACTTTGTTATAAATCTTCTCACATAATAAATTCCTCTTTCTCTCAACTCCAGGGAACTGCAACCTGGTGTACGCCATCATCCGCAAACGTAACGTGTTCCACCAGTTGGCCAACCTGCCCTCTGATCCTGCTTCCATCCAGAAGGCTTTGCAGAGGAAGAGGAAGTCTCCGGATGTCATTTCCCGTACCAGCTCCCAGGAGACTGTATCCATGGAGGGCTCTCACCCTGCTGTGCCGGCAGAGCCTGGTACACTGAAGACTAGTCTGGTTGCGATTCCAGGTACTGAATCTGTTACCTGCTATGTGGATGTTACTGTTTGCATGTTAAACTGTACTGTACTTACTGTACTCATATTTTGTAAAATTATAGAAAAAGGTGTATAAATTGTCTAAGTAATGACTGGCTGCTTGATAACAATTGGAATATTTGTTTCATCAATAATTATAATTTTGGAATATAGGATGGGTCGACAAAGGTGAAGTGAATGAAAGGGTTAATTTCTCTAAACATGAAAAAATCCAGTTTGTTAAAAAAAAAAATATATGGATTTTTAGGGATGGAAGACCAGTACCTGCATTATTCCATCTCTCAGTGTTTTCTGGCTTCCCTTTTTCCTTATGGATCTTGACCCCAAACCCACTGGTTCATGGTAAAGAAGAAAACATGTCACCCAGTGCATTGGTGTGTCTCACTGATGTGTTTTTAATGGACAAAATTGAGCTTTATGACACAGAGGAATCAGGTTTTGGATACACTCAGGATCAGTTCATTCTTGGTTTTGGTCTAAAAGAAAAATATAGAATATCACCAGACTTTTTAAAGTATTAAGTTGTGAATGGTTTCCTGCTTTCCTGCAGCGATTGATAAACTGACTGAGAAGTCCCAGGTATCAGAGGATGGCACTATGGTGTCAGTTCCAAAGACAGACTCCCCACACACAGCCCACACAGACCAAAGTGCAGTCGCCGGGACCAGTGACACAGAGTCCAACTCAGGCCGAGACAGTGAAGTAAGTGTGTAAGTGACTGTGTGCATGTGTTTGTTTAAAAGCATATGCATGTTATAGTAAATCTATTTCTTCACATTATCAGGATGTTTTTTACACTGAAGCAGAAATGGAGAGAAGACGTCTGTCAAGTGCGTCTTCGACATCTTTTTGGGTTCCCACACCAGACTGGGTCAGTAACTGTAGACGTTTTTGATACATGTTGTATATTTATCAGAATGTATTACTGATCTGGATTTACCTTTGTTATTTTTTTTTCCAGGTCCATTCCTGGAAGTGTAAACTACCCCTGCAGACTATCATGCGACTTCTACAAGTGCTCGTTCCCCAGGTGGAGAAGATCTGCATCGACAAGTATGCAAACACTTCTGTTCCTTTTTTATCACCATGTAAAAGTCATATATTGGCTGAGATTCTTCAGAAATATTGCCTTCATAAAGCATGCTCACATTTCACTGCAGGGGTCTGACAGATGAATCAGAGATCCTGAAGTTTCTCCAGCACGGCACATTAGTGGGCCTGCTGCCAGTTCCTCACCCCATCCTCATCAGAAAGTATCAGGCCAACGCAGGCACTGCCATGTGGTTTCGCACCTACATGTGGGGTGTCGTCTATTTGCGGTGAGTCAGCCAAAAGGGCTAAGCGTAATGCAAAAAGTCCTCTTTCCACACTGACTGAACACTAACATCGTATTCTGTTTTTCCAGCAATGTGGACCCTCCAATCTGGTATGACACTGATGTCCGCCTTTTTGAGATTCAGAGGATGTAGACGGAAGACTACAAATGGGACTGTTCAACTCCAGGGTTCCCTTCCCTTCGGTATTTGCTGGTTTCCCAGTAAACCTCACTGTGTTTAACTTGCCTCCATAATAATCATCATAATGCTTACGACAATGACTTGGGTAGAAGAGTCATTCAGACGAGTGAGGTAGACATACCCCCTCGGATTAAGAGGGGAGATGTTTGAATTATCAATATTGTCCATAAACAACTGTGTTTGTACATTTTCTTAGACCTCAAGACCATAGAATGTCTGTCAAAGCTGAGACGACTGAAGCGTTTCCTGAAGACTGAAGTTCTTTTCTTGACAGCATAGAAGTGAAAAATGAAATCTCATTTTTAGGCAGACCTGTCATAGAAGATATGGTGCTTTCCAACAGAGGCTTGTAACATATCTTGGACGGCACAATATTGATGTTTCACGTTATTCGTTGTACTTGCCATGCTTTAAAGTGCACTCTTTATGAGTTGTCTGTTATTATGGTTGTAGTTTATGAGACAGTGATACAGATTGTATGTTTTTATGTATATGGCCAGGTTTAAGTGATGATCTGGCTGGATATGCTTATAATGCTTGGTGTTTAAAATTGTATTTTCCTTAAATTATCTTGAAAATATATATTGATATGCATCTGTGAATTTTATGTTGGTCTCATTATTGAACATTGTTCACAAAGAGTCACCATTTACTCTGAGTTAAATCAACACACAACCATCCAGATAACTACCCAGCTATTGTAAGGTCTTTACTTTATCCACCCTGTGTGTAGCTTAGCCACAATATGCTGTTTAAAGTGCTGTCCCTTTACGTCATGATCACTAGATGGCACTGTGTCCCTTCCCAGCAATCTGTCAGCTCAAGTTTGACCTTTAAAAAAGGAACACATTTACACTGCCACAATGCAAAACGAGGTCACGCTTTGCATACATCTAGTTTTGTTGTTTTAACCCCAAAAGGAATTCAAGACAAATCCTAAAGGGTCATGAGCTGACCAACGGTGAAAGATTACAATCAAAACATGCCCTACAAAATAGTTTTTCTATATTTGCTATTGTCTTGTGAAATACTAAGTTTTTATTTCCCACTGTTCAAAATAATTAGTTAATGTCAAACTGTCTGACTCCATTACACTACTTGAATGAATTTTGATAGTCATAAATACTATACATGCAAGTCTAATTTAATGTAATATGCAGCACATTAAACACCTGTCCCCCATGTAAAAGTAAATATACAATACACAGACGTCTTTTAAGTTAAAATTTATTAACATTAACAAGTTCAATTTAAACATTCAATAAATAAAACAGATCATAACATTAGTCTACATGCTAAAAATAAGTCCAGCGAATGAATCCAACTAAGAAATTAAGTACACCTCAAAGAGACTGGCGACAGAGTGCATACGGTAGAAGATTCCAAAAGGAAGTCCAATATTCACAATGGCAGCCCACATTGTGAAGCTGTAGAATTTTATCTCGACGGGATGATCAAACTGGGGACGAGCGCCGAAGGCGGGGATGATCCACAGCTGTTGGTACAAAATGAATAAAGCGGGACATATTTCAACAGGAAAACAGTAACCATTGGTTTGTTGGAATTATAGTTAAAGAACTTAAGCATTAAAACTACTTACAATGATGTTTGAGAGCAGAAGAAAGGCACAAACATCCTTCAGTATTCGTCTCTTCCAGCTTAACTTATGAAAACTTGAAGTCAGGTAGTAGCTGGACTTATTTATCTCCATAACAACGCTCATCTCTGTGTGCTCTTGGAGGTGAGCGTTTGTGTGCAGGGCTGCTTCCTGCATCATGTGGAAGGGCTCTCGATGGAGGCCTTCGATGATGAAGTAGTTCTGCAGGCCGAGCTGGAGCACTGTCAGCACGGCCCAGGACAGGTTGAGGGCATTCAGGTACCCACTGGCACCTGTCGCCACCGCAGCCACGATGGTGAAATAGCTGATGATGAACTGTCCCAGTGAGGCTCCCACCAGCAGCCCCACATCCAGGCTGCGAGTGGGGTTTTTCTCCGATACGTGCTCCCTGTGGTCCAGCCTGTAGACAATGCACCCAATCATGGTGGAGAGGGACATCAGGCTCACGATCACGATATTCATGATAAAATGAATCAACAGGGCCTCGTTTCGCTTTTCCTCATCCTCTTTCAGTATGTAGACCTCGTAGATGATGAAGGTTACGAGTCCCGCCACCACCAGGAGTATTCCCGTTACGGGTCCCATACACACATCCTTTAGACGGAACTTCACGCTGTGGTGGCTGTGATCCTCCACAAGTCGACCGACATTTTTCCACATGACGTAGGCCATAGCCGACGCAAAGAGGCTGTATTCGATGTTGAAGGGGTACAGGTAGTAGAAGGCCTCTTTGAAGGTGTTGCATGCTGAGTGACTGCATTTACATTTATGATTGCCATAGCTGGCTGAAATGGAAAGGACAGTTTTGAGTCATCTCCCTCTTAATCGGATTTAAATTGAAAAATGTGCCTAAGTAAATACCTCTGTACATCTTGTGAGAGACATTGACATTTAGATCAGGAATCTCTGTTTGGTGAATAGATTCCTCAGTCACAGCTGCCATCCACACCACCAGGTTAGTTGAAAGTGTAAGAGTGAGGCCACACCTGCAAGAGCGAAAGCATGAGTGTCCTGCACGAAAAAAAGACAGATTTTGTAACGAGCTAAGAAAATACTTTACCGTGTAAAATTAGTGTGTAGCTGCACGCAGTCCTTTGCATGAACCCACAGGAAGTATGTCTAAAAAACAAAACAAAAAAAACAAGACGTTTTGTTTCCTCAACTCATCCATGTGCAAGTAAGACTGCTTGTTCTTGCAAGCGTGATGTTCATAAAATGCAACAACCTGGACAAACAAAAATACAGCTTGCACGACAGGGAAGGCCACTTTAACAGCAGAGTCACAGTGAAGGTAGCCCACGTAGTTGGCAATCTTGAAGATGTCCATGAGGAGACTGAGAAGCCCAAACAGCAAAAGTCCAGCTGGAATATAAAAATTTGATTTGATTAAGCCTTGAAATGACTAATCTAAACCAGAAAGTCGTGGGGTCTCACCTCGGAGCCACACGGGCCCTGCATGGCTATCTTTGAGCAAGATCGCTTGATCCTTTCGGGAGGTTACGGCTGCGTAAAACAGCATCCACAACATTGTGAGGAGGAGGAGAATGATGAGGAAGATTTGCCTGTGCACGGCAGTAATGGCCACGCTGTTGAAGGCACTGCCGCTGACCAGAGCGCAGCCCAGGATCAGGATGTTGATGCAGATGATGCCAGACAGGAGCCATCCACCACCATGGTGGGCCCTCTCAATGACTACCTCCACATGGTGAACACTCTCTCTGACCGCCTCCACACCGTGAACACTCTCTCTGACCGCCTCCACACCATGAACACTCTCTCTGACCGCCTCCACACCGTGAGGATTGGAAGGACAGGGCAAATGTTGGATGTTTTCCAGCTGTGCTGCTGTCTCAATGTTGGACGGATGGGCCTCCACAACATCGTTTGGAGTTTTTCTTTTAAAAAAAAACCAAACAAAAAAAACCAAACAAAAACTGTTGTTGTTAAGAGATTGCAACCAACTCGCCTCACCCTACTAAGCATGTAGGAGAAACTACAGCAGTCTGCAAAAGACCCTATTTAAAGCCAGTGTTTGGTTTGTCTGTTCTGGGCTGCTACAAAAACTTGGCCCGCTACCTCTTTGGATAAAAATGTCAAATTCAAAAATAAAGGAAAAAAGAAAAACAAAAAAACAAACAAACTATGATTCTTAGTTTCAGGTGATAATGAAAACAGACATTAATATTCTATTCCATTTCTACCAATAGAGTCGCTTTAGTGTCATACACACACAGTGGACCTTTAAAATTTGGCAGGTGCTTAATGTATTCATGTGCATTTTGGTGGCTTTTTTAATTTACAGTTTTTTCTTCTTGAGTGTATCGTTTAATAAAAAAGGCACACCACCTTAGTAGTATTTCAATTAAGTGAAACAAAATATTCAGGAAGATTATGCTTGTACTGTATTATTTCAAATACATTTTGTTTTAGTTTAGCAAGATTGTCTCGCTCTGCCACTTCAGGTAGGACTTTAAAATCTAATGAAAGCCAATGCAACTACTCAACCTTACAATATTATTGAGGTTATTGTTTGCACTGGTGTTGAAGTGGACTGCATTATATTAGGAAGCAGTTCAAATGTTTGGCCCATCCCAGTTACAAACATGTGGGGGGAATAATAGAATAATAATAGAGACATTTCAACATAATGCAGGTGCACTGAGCATTATAATTACAATAAAGTGCAGAATTTGTGGCAGATCTTTTGCATTGATGTACCAAAAAGTGACCATGGAGTGCATCTTAAAGCAAGCAAAAGCTGTTTTTAGACTGCTAACAGTGTATTTGAACTTATAGTTTATTTATATAGGACATTTTTTATATTTTAGTATTTATCCACTGAGGCTGACCCCAGCTCCCAAAGATTTCCACTGACCCTACAACCGCCCATGCTATAGTAGGCCTCACAATTAGTGCTGCACACTTAAAAGATACATATATATATATATATATATATATATATATATATATATAGTGACTAAGATTGAAAATGCATCACCACAGATTTACCCAGAGAAAAGTTTGTTGCAGGTCCGGAACATCTGTTGAGCAACAGTTTTCATGATCCCTCCAACCAAAACGGAGACGGCACGCCACACAAAAAAGCCAGTGCCAGGTCCGAGGTCTATATCGTGTCAAAGATGAAATGCATACGGGGGTCAAACGAAATACACAATGAAAACAAGTAGAGCAGCGTCCCTCCCCTGCAGGTCAGATTGCACAGAGAGCTGGCGCAACGCACCAGGTGGAGTAAATAAATACAAACAGGTGTAATGAGTTTCAGCTGATTCCTTCTCGCCCCGCACCCACAGCCCCCTCCCCTCTACAATACGTTTTCAGGGGCAGCTCCGATCAAGTCAGTTCCCAAAATTTGGCCACCTCATTTTATTGTTATTTTATGTGGGCAACATTATCTCTAACAACATGCAACCGCGGCCTGCGATGAGCTGCCTCGGGGGGAAATTCAGGTTCAACGAGGGCGTGTGTGTATTTGTTGTAGCCCAGCCTGTTCCAAGAAGCAGGATTACGTCTAACTTGGAAATCCTTTTCTGAGTAAAACTCTGATCGTGACATGACACATTAAAAAAATAAATAAAACATCTAATAAATAACTTGATAACTGGTCCATACAAGATAGTGAATTTTAATATTTTATGACATTTTCTTCCTTTTAAGCATCTGTTTGTCACTGTACAAATTTAAATAATAGTTTGAGATTTTAACCATTAGTTTAGATATACAACAGTTCAAACTGAAAACCTCAGCAAATTTTCCAGGCTGACTCCAAAGTGCCTAAGGGGCAGAAAGGAGCTTAAAGTATGTCCAAAAGTTTTCCTTTTAAAAAAAATGTGTGAAATTTTAAGAATCTGTGAATATCATCATTTACTTAGATGAATTTACACTTTCAGTACCCTGCAGTTAGACTATTTGAAGTGATCTCTGTCATTTCATGATGGCTATAAAACACAGGAGAATGGAAGAAAGCCCACCAGATGAATACTGAACTTTAGAAAGTTCATAGAAATTTGACAAACTAAAAAAGAGGGAAAACCATAAAATAATAAAACTTGAAGCAGCTCTGTTATTGCAGATGTAAATCATTTACAGATCACCTGCTGGTGCGGGTTGATGTGGTTCAGAGCTCATCAACTTTACTGGGTAGCTGTGTGCACTCATGTGTTTGTCACAAGGTTGGAAACAAAGTTCACCTGATGCTCTCTCAGTCCATCACAATTATTCAGGATGCTGAAAACATCAGACGTGCTCCTTCTCTTCTGTCTTGTTGGGGCAGCGAATGCCCTGTACAAGCAGTGGATTCCTGACACCAACTATGAGAATAAGACCAACTGGGACAAAGAAGAAGTTCCGTGTGGCAATGACATAGTCAAGTTTTCAGCCCAGAGAAAAGTGTCTGTGTTTGTGGAGACCACGCATGCTGTGCAGGAGATGAAATTGCCAGTTGATGGAGAGTTCATCCTGAATTCAGGAGCTGGATTTTATGTCGTGGCCGGTCAAGATCCAGGATGTGGAGCAGGTGTCACAACCCAGTTCAAAGATTCAGAGTCTCTTCAGTGGTTCAACCCAGCTCTGTGGCAGGCGGCTGCAGCTCTCGATGACCTGCAGCGTGGAAACTTCCTGTTCTCAGTCCACGAGGAGAGCGTCCCGTGCCAGTATGATGATGTGGTTTTTAAAGCCCGCTCCTCTTTCAGGGTGGACACCAGCTCCAGTCAGTCTAGCATTCCTGTCAAATCTGTGTCTGTGCTGGGGAAGATGTTTGATAGCCAGCCTGAGTTCTCCCAGTATGTCAGCTCACGCTCGGGCCGACTGCAGTTTCACGGACCCTCTGCCGTCACTGTTGGGAAACCGGGCTGTGGGGATCCTTCTGGCTGTGACTGTGGGAATTCTGTAAACCATCAGCGGATCTGTGGCACTGTAAAATGTGCCCTCTCTGAGCTGTAAAAAGCCTCTCCTCCCTCTAGGACACTGCTGTGATGTTTGTGGTGCCATTGCCACTATCCATTATGCTGCTGCTTTTAACCTGCAATCTTACAGGCAACGAATCCATCACCTATTTCTTGTCCTGCCAAAATACAAATCCATTCAGCTGGGCATGTCTAAAGTCTTCAAGTCACAGCGGTTCATGGGGATCATCCCTTTTGGTACCTCACCTGAGATCCAGGTGGTTATCCTGGATGGAGAGAAGGGAAAACAGTCAGAAGCTTTGGCCCGGGACATTGTGAAGGATGCCCGATCTCATGGCTCTACCTTGGGGATCACTGGGGCAGAATTTGAAGCCTCCTCTGGGAGCAGCAGTGGTCAGTCTGGAGGCAGTGCTGGGATGGTGGTTGGAGTTGTGTTTGGTATTTTAATTATTATTGCGTTCATTATCATTATGGTTCTCTTGATTCATAAGGGGGTTGTTCAAATGCCATCACTGCCTCCGCTGCCATCTCTGAGCAGCTTGAAGAGACACAGTGATGTTGGAGAGCTTGGTGGTCCACTTGACCATGGCTATGATAATCCAATGTTCGACAAGCCCAGCTTGATGCCTGAAGTTCCTGGTCTGTATGTGACTGAAACAAATAATTCAATCTCCCTGACTCAGACAGGTGTACACTTCATAAATCCAGTTTATGACGAGAATGAAACTGATTTCAATGCATGAAGTTGACTGCAGTGAACGTAAGGTATGTTAATAATTTCCAATGTACCTTTGTATTAAACTGATGATTTTACAGACCTGTACTAAAGCTTTATCATTCAGCTACGTAAATAAACATATAAAGGTTCTGACAGACACTGAAGCTTTTAATAACCAAATGCACTTGTAAGAGAAATAAAGTACTCATTGGCAGACATTTGTGTACTTTTTTTCTTCATTCATATCACATTCAAGAGCAGTGAAGTTGCAATAAAGCTGCAGTAAATTCCAAACACACCTACTGCTGCACGGGTTTCTTTCGTCCATGCTGCACAGTTACCACTAGATGGTAGTAAATGTATCCTTCAATGACGTGTATGTGAAAAAAAAATCCTCCATACCATAACTTTCTGCACCTTGTTATGTAACCTCCATAAACATTTATAATGCACAGTTTTTTCTTTTACAAGCTCACAGTGAAGACAGACTTGTTGGTAAAACATGGGAAGATGCATCATTTTGCATCAACCAGAGAAACTACATTGTCCTTTTTTGACAGCCAGGCTGTAACATATAAGGGCTCTATGAAATCAGCAGTGTACTTGTGGAGCAGCCTCATAGGGCCGGTGACATCATAAAAAGACACAGAGCTTTGGTGAAAGTCAACATACAAGCCAACTCTTGTGATGTCAGTGACCTCCAAGGGCACCTCCACACCAGCGTGCCAGGCAAAGAAACCTCGGCTGTTCCTTCCCACGCACCAGGAAAAGTCGTTCCCACTGATGCAGCTGGTGCTCTGCTCCCCCTTACGGTCGATACTCTTGTACGTGAGTCCTACATGTGCACCTTCCCCACTCAGCTCAGCTTCAATATAGTGCCTCCCCAGGTAAAGGCTATCCGAGGTCATTGCCTGGCGCCAATATTCAAAGCGACTTGGGTGTTCTGGGTAGCTGTGCTGCCAGGGGCTGGTGTTGGTCAGCTTTCTGTTGTTCTCCATTACACGTAGGAAATGATGGGTGGTGTCTGGGTCAAAGGTCAAACTCCTTGTGTCTACAATACAGGGGAAATACCATTTGTGAATCGTTCATAAGCCAACTGAACAGGTGCGATTCGGCAAACAGAAAACACAGAATATCATATATTGAAAAGCGTATTTACATTTCAAAAAGTCCTCTCGCGTCTCAGGAACAGGCAGGGGTGAAGCTTGAGATTCTGACATCGGGGATTTAGTACCTAGTTTTTAATAGACATGAGGATTTATACAATATGCTGACATTTTGATAAATAGAGAGGTTTAAAAAATGGGGCTGAGCAATGAAACATAACAAGAATAGCAACGCTACAGCTAGTGGCTTTGTGAGGCTGTACCACAGCAGTGCAAACATGCTCACAATAACAATGCTAAGATGCTGATGTCAGGCAAGTATGATATTTACTATGGTCCCCATTTTAGCGTGTTAGCATGCTAACATTCACTTAGTGGTCATAATGCAAATATTCCTGACAATTTGTCCAATAGTTGTTGTGATAAATTGTTTGCATAAAAGCACAAATGTGAATCACTTGGTGGCACTAGAGGAAAAGGCAGGGGGGCACATTTGTCTGGGAACCATGAATTCACGGAAATTCATCTTTAAATATTTAGAATCTTTAAATATTTAGAATATTTTCTCCATAAAGAACCACACCCACCACTTTTCCAAATCAAGTTCAGTTTTTCCCTGTAGGAGGAGAGGATCAGGTCACACAGCTCTTGTGTAGCATCAGTCACTACTTGGACATAAGAGGTTAGATGATCCATACGGTTGATGTACACAGTAGGCAGACATACATCCGCCATGCCTTTCTTCCACTCTGAGTACTCCTGAAACAATCAAAACAAAATATATCAACTTGATGACATAAAATATTTTCTGAGGTAGAAAATTGAGATAATACTTGGATGTATCAGATCTTGCTGTGATCTTCCTGTGTGACAGTTACAGTTGACAATAATCAAAGGGTTCCTATGATATAGCTACTTACTACTTTTTCTTAAAAAGTATAAAAGGTAAATTAAAAATGTGAATGGTTTGACATCGAAAAACATATTTCGAGGAATACCTGGAACATGACATGATTAAAACTTTTTGCTTACAAATATATCGCAAGAAAACAAACCCACAGAGATTTTGCACATGCATTGTACTGCTGCACCCAACTTATTGTCTTATGTAAAAACACAGTTTCTGGTTGATTTTGGACAATACTGAACCCTTGGTGTTGACATCAAACAAGAAGACATGCGTTTCAGTATTTTGCACCACTTGGATTTCTGAGGATGTTTCTGTTGCAATTTTTGTGGGGTCATGTTGTATGATACCATATTAAAAGTGACATGTTGAGTATCAGGATGACGAAATAACATGCAACTCCTCTTCTCTGATCCAGAACTTTACAATGAAATGCCTTAATGCCTGCCGTGTGTGCACTGTCAACACACTGCGGCATCCAAAATAAACTTTGTCTCAGAGAACATCCTGTTCTAATCCTATTTCACATGAGACATCTGATCAAAATGAATGCACACCTGGGTAATAGCTCTACGTATTTAGCATTATCTTATATATTTCATATATTTTGTACCTGCAGGAAGTCAACATCAGACTTGCTCCTGGACAGTTTGTTCATATGAGCCAACGTTTTCATCAGCTCTGTTCTCCTCTGCTCCAGATGTGCCTGGATGCCCTCTGCCTGTTTGAGGGCCTGTCTCTGTTCTCCCTCCAGCACCTCCGCTGCCCCTTTTCTGGCCTCCTCTACGGCTGTCTGCAGCCTGGCAAACTGCTGTTCAATGATAACACAAACCTCCTGCACTGAAGACTGAGGAAAGAGAAAATATGCGTAATGAAATCAGAATGTTTAGACTGTTATGCATTTAATGAATGAACAAAAAAAAGTGTTATGGTTTAATACTTGTCTATGTAACATACCTTAATTAAATCATTGTTGCTCTGTAGCTTTCCAATAGCTTTCTCAGCTGCTGAGGCACTCTGACTGATCTCTTCTTGCTTCTTCTGCAACTTTGCCTACAAACGGTCACAACAAACACAGCTGCAACAGATGCTGCATCAGGTTTACACAGATCTAAGTTAATTTGCCCTTTAAAGATAATAAAGGGAAATAGTTTAAAGCAATAAAAATAACCAAAACAGAAATTAATTTCATAATATTAAATGCTCTTTGTTGAATAAATTGTACTATGTCTTGTGCTGTGTGGAGACCTCAATCTGTGTGCGTGCCTCCCCAACAGATGCAGTCATGTGCCCTTCATGCTCCTGATTCTCACAATCCAGACACACACAGCAGCCGTCCATCAGGCAGAAGCGTTCGAGAGGAAGTTGATGAACCTCGCAGGTCCGACAGTCGATGTCGTGGAGGGGATCCACCAGGCGGTGGTTTTGAAATTTGGTGTTCTCCAGATGGGGTCTGAGATGGGCCTCGCAGTAAGAAACAAGGCAGGTCAGGCAGGATTTTAGGGCCTTGCTGGGGCTGTCCATGCAGGAGTCACATAACACATCTTGTGGGAGCAGCGTGTCGATGGAAGGATCCCTTGGTTCCTCATTTACGTCTGTGTTGTGTTGACTCTCCTTCAAATTCTCCTCATTGTTACTGCTGAGAGTTGCCATATTTGAGAGTGTTCACCTTAAACCTGATTTGGTTTAAGTTTAGGCAGTCAGAAAGCCTACTGCGCACTTACCGTATGGTTGCCTTTTCTGAGACCCTCGGAGTGCATAAGGAAAGAATTGAAAACCACGCCTATGGCATCTTGTTCTCAGCCTGCTGAAGAATTCTCATTTTTCACCCCTCCCCTGTTTATCTTTGCTCTGTTTCCAACCTCACAAAGCTTAAGACCCAACAGATTACACAGATGAGGGGAGGAAATGACGAGTGTATTATGATCAAGCCAGGCAGGCCAATGAACATCCTCCTTTTCATTCTTTCTGAGTTAATGACCTGGCTTGTTTACTGACATTCTCTGGCAAGGTTGGGTTTAAAGGTTTATTTCAACAATAATAGTAATAACAAAACAATTTTTTATGGGTCCTGTCACCGATAAGGCAAATGAATCAATAAAAACAGTATCGTCTATGTAAATTATCATCAGTATAGCTTGTGGATGCTGTGTTGTGCTGCCTGTGTGGGAAAATGACAGTGTTTCCTTCTGATAACAACGTTATGTAAGAGGCATGGAGCTTCCAAAGGCACTTATCTACAGCACAACTTCCTGACTTCATGTCATGCTGTACAGGGGAAAGAATGACGCTTATGTTTTGTGAGGATTATCACAATTGCTGAAGATGGCAAAACAAGTATTTTCCGCTCTCTGCTTCTGTCTCACATACATACAGACACACACACACACCAAGGACTTGTTGGCAGAAATGGTGTCTTTATAAGCAGGTAATGACTGAGACAGGATATTCATTGATCTGTAAAAATTGTATAACAAAACATGATACACCAACAGTGCATATTAGTTACACTATGCATAAATACTGTAAGAACTCAATTAATTTACATATGTGGTACACTAATGAGTGAAAATGTATTTACTTTAAACTGGAGCTTTAAAAATACTGTGGCTGGATTTTCCCATCAATCTATATTTTTAACTATAGCTATAGTGTTTCTTAAAAAACACATTTAATTTGATATTTCATTGTTTAATTATAATCTAAATGTTGTTTCAAAGCCTTCTGCACACACCTTTACACGTATGTAATTCCGGTAGAAATGCCTAAATCCCCTTTTATTTAAAAAATATTAAGTTGAAGAAATTTCAGAATCAGCCCAAAGAAATTTTGTCATACGTGTATAATCACAGAGTGTAAAAATATGACAACATGCCCTCAGTGTCATGATTTATAAAGGCACATGGATACATCAGTTATGTAATTTACAGCATTAAAAACCTTTGTATTTTTTATCTAAAATCCACCTAAAATGTTACAAAGTTGACATAATAAACATCAATGTATGTGCCTGTGCAGCTGTACATTACTAAAAAAGATACTCAGTGTACAAACAGTTGGAAGACTGTCATATTGTCAAGACTGACTGAATGATATACAAAGCATATTATCTCCTAGTGCGGTCCTAGAGCTACAACATATTATATTGTGCATCATAAAATAATCTAAAGATACTGTGTTTTCACATAGTTTACAATACTACAGTAAATCAGAACAGTAAACTCAGTGAACAATTGGCCTGCATTGCCAGTTAGCCACACTTGGACTGACATGGCTTGCTGTCTGTAAACATGCACAAAGATGAAATATGAGTTAGGAAACAGTTCAGTGGCTCTGGGTGAAAATGTTGCTCAAAATGTTGCAATTGAACTGGTTAATAATAAAGTTGCAATTAAGTTCATGTCAAAGTTATTTATGACAAAAGACACTTTTAAGCAAATGCACAGGCACGAGCAATGCGGGCACATTAGGGTGGTAGGATTTACCCCACAGGGGCAAACACGTTCAGGGGACACAGACCCCACAATCGACTCTCTGTCAGATCTGCCACACGGCATACAATGACGCTGCACAGCACTGCACTCTGATAATTGTCTTTCAGTTTGTTAAACCATGCAGCGCAGGAGACTCCAACCAACGTACAGAGATATCTTCAAAGATCCTCCAGAGGTTAACAAGACACTGTAAAAGAATCCTGTTAGGAATTTATCTCACACTCATCTCTTCTTGCTTGACATATTCATCTTGACAGTGTCCTTTCTGCTTTGTTACCACTGAGGTACCAGGAGAGGTAAATCATTAAATCCCCCCTGTCCATACATGACATTCACTCCACAATGCTGCACTGACCTTTAAGGCTGGATGAGCACACAGCAGGAGGACCGTCCACAACAACTTTTATTATCTGCAGTACAGAATGAAGACAAGAGAAGACACTATGTTTGTAACTGAAGAGGATCTGCGCTGGAGTGAAATACCAAACAATATGCCCAAATACATTCCTGTATATCTTAAAAATGCCATCACTCACAGTTCTGTGTCCTCAATGCAGTCTGGGTCCTCTATGGTCTCCAGCCGTCTCTTACAGGCATCTAAGATCTTTTTCCTCGGTCCTAAGGGGATATGGATACTCTTAAGGTCATGATCAGAACACAGTAACAGTGCTTCAAGGTCGATCTTCTCCCTCTTGAAGATAGAGAAAAACTCGCTCATGCTCTGCGTAGCGAGGAAGACCTCCAGAGGGCTCGTGTCAGGCTCATCGTCGTCGTCCAGCCCTAATTCAACTTCCTCCCAGGGCAGCTCCTCCACGTTCCTCTCCTGCAGGCTCCGTGCACTACCGATGCTGTCTTCATCTAGACTCGGGTACTGCTGCAACCTGCTGCGTAAACGCACATTATTGCCTGACCGGCCCACACTGGCCTCATCTCGACTGCCGAGGTCAAACATCCCCCCACTCACATAGTTCCTCCTAAAGACCATGGTGCCCAGACCAGGCCGGTTGAACAGGGAGTCATGTCCTGAGTCAGTGCTGATCTCAGAATAGTCCACATCAGGCCCATGGAGGTCCGGCTCGCTCATGGCACGTGAAATGGCATCGTAATTGTCTCTGGGGAACATGTCACGAACATTGCGGCGGCCACGGTGGTCCTTGGGGTTGACATAAGTCCCCTGTTTGACAAACATGACATCGTTGCCCAGCTGAAGTCCAGAGAGGGAGCGAACACTCTTCCTCCCATCCTCGTAGATTTTAAAGGTCCCATCTCCTTGTTTCCTCTTCTCCAGCTTCTTCTGAATCTTTGTCTTCCCTCGGTTTGTGGCATGGAGAGTAGCCTAATGAGACATGAATAATACAGCAATTAGACACAATCACAAATGAAAGGATTAGATTTTCCAAACACTACTAGTGACCATTTTTTAAAATCTTTGATATAGATTCATGTATTTTTTGATACTTTTCACTTAGACACAGGTTTCGGTTCATGTCACTGTAAAACCTTTAGCCATGCTAGCAGGCTTGGGATGGCAATATTCAGTTGATCCACACTGAAATATCTCAACAACTACTGGATGGATTGCCATCAAATTTGGGATAGGAAATTCATTGACCCCAGAAGATGAATTGTAACAACCTCACAAACAATCTTCAATCTATGGAACCATGCAAAAATGCAAAACACAAATAAACTTTAAAAATAGACAAATCAAAACTCCTGACCTGAGAATATGGCACACTGACGGTGGCTGCATTTAGGTTGCGCAGCTTGTGGCTAAGAGAGCTGCTGGTGTAACTGGAGAAACTCATGACGTCTGATGCAGAAGCCTCAGAAGCATCCTTATGAAACTTCCTCTCCATGCGTTTGTGGTGTTTCTTCTGCATCTTCACGCATTCTTTGATACGCCGCTCAGCATCGCGAAACGCCCGGTCCTTCAGCTTACTGACCAGTTTTGGGTTTAGGGATGTCTGCTTGGCGGCGATTGAATCCAGGTAGCGGACGCAATCCATGTGATTCTTTGTGGCAGCCATGTCCAACGGGGTGTGGTAGTCGTTGTCCAGGCACCATATGTTGGCACCGAAAGACACCAGGAAGAAAAGGCAGTTGTGGTGACCATTGGCAGCTGCCAGGTGGAGCGGCGTGTTCCCCCATATGTCACACTTGTCGGGGTTTCCTCTGCAGGTCATAATAAAGATGTTAGATAAAACCTTTATACTCAGAGATCTTGTATCAGATTTAATGAATAAATATTTTAATTCCTAGTTCAGACTGGTAGAAAGATTATGGATACAGGTTGCCTCCTTGGTGTTGCATGTAGATGACTCACTCATGAGTAAGCATGTGCTTTTTTGATTATGTTTTCAGCACTGACCTCCCATCCGTGTGTTGTTAATGGGGCCTTATTTAATAATTTACAGTCTAAACACCAAATTGCTCTTTCAGAAAACCAACCATGGATCTTCTGTAAGCCACACATTTTTTAAAAGCTTTGACCAACTGGCAAATAGGATGGTTCGATTAAAATGACGCAGATGATGATTTACTATCACGCAAGGGCCATAACTAACAACATAAGCAACATTTACCCTTGGCTGACAGTCCACGACCTTAGGGTTACCTCTGTGTGTACTGCACTGTTGCTGTTGGTTTGTAATATGACCACAGGCTTGCCAGCACCACTGCTACACTACCTGTATCCAGTTTCAGGGGAGGCCGAATAGGTAGCGCCTGACTCAAAAAGCACCATTGTGAATGGCTGGTGATGTCACACTGAATTCCTCAAGTCAAAACATACAGTATTACAGCTGCTTGGACGATGTGGAGGACAGATGTGTCTGAAGCTTTCTTACTTTTCTCTCCCGTCATAAGCCTGGTATGCAAATCTAGTTCATTATTAAAATTTTGTTCAAAATAGTATTATGTTAAGAATCTTAAAGTTAATTGATAATGTTAAAAGGAAAACAGGATTTATTCATGATATACAGCTTGTTTGTAGCCACCACAGCTAAATGTGGGTTAAACAATTTCAGCTTAAAGTTCCTGCATTTATTTTTCTTCAGTTTAGAGCACTCTGGTTGATGTCACACCCCCCAAAATTTACATGCTTACTGAACTGTCTTGTGTCTTGTCTTGTGTCTTCCAATGTAGCCACGTACAGACTGCCAGATATTTGATACGATGGATGTGATGCCGCTGTCGAAGTGCAAATGTATTATTGATGGATTGCGTTGTAAGGTTTTCTCAGGGAATGTGTGTCAGATCTGCCAGACCCAACCTGGGCAGCGATTAGCAAAGTCCCACTCTGATTTCAGCCCCCTGTCTCTTTTTGTCTGGACAGGATTGGGTTTAAACTGTCAGAAAGAAAAA